GGTTTCACCAAGTGCATCGATGGTGCGCGTTCTGTGAGAGCACGATGCATGAACAGAAAAATTGGAAAAATTAACATTTCTTGTGAGGAATCTTAAGAAGCGAGACTACTCACAAAGGAAGGAAATGTGAACAGATGCTGAAATTTATTGGCGGCATACTAAATTCTCGATGGCCCTTTCTCAGTGTCACAGAAAAAGTTGTCTGGGAAGGATGGGGAAAATAAAAGTTTAATCGAGTCAGTATTCAGATAAAGGCGTAGCCTTCTCTTATAGGTGTGTAGATTTTCTGAAGATCTTATATTTATTGGAAGTTTATTCCAGAGGAAAGTATATCTGGAAGCGAAAAAAGGGGAGTGCTTAGAGGTGGAAGACGCTGGAGGAGGTATAATCAAGGAAATCCTGCCATTGATAGTAAACTGTTTTGCCTATGTACCACTGTGTAGTCTGTTATGGATGTAAGTCCGAGTACGTTAAAGAGTATTTCAAAGCAAACACCGTCACTTATAAGTACTCGACGCACCCACAGGTGTGTAGGTCATCGTGTACTCATGCAGGCAGTCAATATGTTACCCAGAACGCGTTCTGAGTGCAATCTGAAGGGAAAACGGCTTGTACATATTGATAGACCATGCGGAAAGCGGTAATTGGAGCCTTAACCAACGCACAGCACTACCCCCGCAAATGAGGTTTAAGGGAAACGGGTTGCAGTAGGAGAGAACAAAGATTAAAATAAAACAGAAGCGAAGACAAAAAAGGAAAGAGTGGACGGCTTGTAGAGGAGATGCCGTGTCAGAAAGCACTGTCAAGAACAATCAGATATGCTAGTAGTCCAGCTGAAAAGCTCATCGCTCTCCAACACTGCAAGTGTCCAGATCATCCGGACTACGTAAGAGCGATCAGTGGCAGTATTTCGTCATCATACCCATAGAAGCCATCGCCCGCCAGTAAGTAAAATAAAGAATAAATAAATGACTTTATGACAGATGGACGCTCACCGATCAGGTTACAGAACATGCTCGTTCTGTTGTGCCTTGGGGCTCATACTTAAACCCTCGCA